CACGGTGCCCAGCTCTTTGGTCAAACGTAGTCTAGGTGCTGCCGTGAAGGCATTTGGTGAATCTGCTTAATGTTTACAGTCGGTTGACTTGAAGTAATGAGGGTTACCCCCAGTAATGTTGATACCCCCTCCCGTGAAGACTTGCAGAACAAACACAAAGAAGTAAATCTGCCTAAAGTCTGTAACACAGGAGGCCGGCCTGGGACTGGGCCTCGCCGACTCCAAACTCAAGACTGACTTTCACTTTTGCCCGAGTCTCTAGCCTGCTGGCCCCGCCTGCAGAGATTGGACTTGCCAGTCCTCACAGTCCCATGATTCAATCTTCAAAACGAGTTCTCTCTCTCTGTCATCTCTCTCTTCTATTGCTTCTGTTTATCTGGAGAACACTGCCATTCACTCTTTCAAATTATAATTGCTTGCTCCCTCATAATTTCACTGTCTTCCCTTATCTCTTTGAGGATATTTGCTATGCTTGTCCTAGATCCCTTTCCTGAGTTTATTAAATCTGCTTCCTTTGGTACAGGCAGTTCAATGAGCTGTTATTCTTGTTTAAAGGGACCGATGTATTTCCCCCCGCAAATCACATCCCTTTGGAGAGAGATCAGTCCCTTTTCCTTTTGTTCCTCTTTCCTTACCAGGTGGTGTGGCTCCTCAGGGGACCCTCTTCCCTCTACCTGGGGCTGCTCTGGCATTACCCTTCACTTCTAGTGGGCATGGGGCTGGGCTGGCATTGCTCTTTTTCTATTCCATTTAGAGGATGGGGCGGATACTCACTGTCTCAAGCAACGTCGGGAAGAGAAAGGGCAGAAAGCAGATGGCTTTCCAGACCACCCAGGTTTACCTCTCCCCCAGTCTAGGATGCCATTTTCCCTCCACACGGCAGCCGAGCCACACTTCATGTTCTCCACGGAGCCCACAGTTGCGGTGTTAGGTTTGGGGGCTCCACAAATTCCTTCCTGCTCACATCGTATTTCAGAATGTGGTTTAGGGGAAGAAGCAGCAACTGTGTTAGTTCGCCATCTCACCGGTGTTCTTTCAGCCACTATCCTGCTTTGACTGATCGATGGGCTGAATGTTTGGTGGATGTAGATATTTCCTTCTGTATAGCAGGCCAATAAACCGTGGTTGTGAGTGGGAATCTTGTATTTCCTTACACTGAGTGGGAAAATAATGTCACCAACTCAGTTGCACAAATAAAAATAAAGTAAAATGCTGGGTGGCATGGCTGACCCCCAACAGTCCTGTTAGAGCTAGTAGGATGCTGGGTGATGGAGATGGTGGAGGATGGAAGGGAGGCAGGACATCTCGTTTTAGGACCACTGTGTTGATGTCTCTAGTGCCCTACGTCAGTGGGCAGGGTGGAGAAGGGCTTCTCTCCAGTTGTGACAACCTCCCTCAGTTTGCTGAGGACAATGTGCTGGGAAGCTGCTACCATCCACTTACTCGGTGACACCCCAATGGCAGCAGCTGCCTTTGTATTTAGCACTATGCATGCCTGGTATGTAAACATGGGCACACAGATGAGTTAGACGTTAGGAGCCTCCGCCTGGGAAGGGGCCCCATGGAAAATCCCTAGATCCGCTCCCCGAGGCCGACGTTTCTCTTAGAGACTGGCGAGCTCTCGGTGCAGGTGGTGCTGGCCTGAGCGAAGCTGTCTCTGTGCAGACAAGGACTTCAGACCATGTGTCTCATATCCACACCACATCATGGTCCAGATGCAGGCAAGGGGCTGGTGAGCTGCCCAGAGGGACCCACTCTGCCAGATTTAACAGTGCATAAGAGATTGGAGCGGACATTAAGACACTCTAATTCAGCGCTGTAGCTGGCGAGCAGAACTGCAGGTTACACGTAGAATTGAGCGCGTAATAGTTTAGAGAAAACGTTTCACCTGTCTCTCACAGGGTGTGTGTTCAGGTCTCTAATAGCAACGGCAACAACGAACATGTGTAAGAACTTATTCAATCATTTGTACCAGGTGATGTGCTCATTGTTTATCTCTTTAAGGAGCAAAAAAAATCATGAGACAGTCATAGTTATTATCTTCATTAGACAGATGCTAGATCTGAGAATTAAACTGGCTCGTCCTGTGTCACACAGAAAGCAAGTGGCCAAGCTTGTCTGGCTGAGGTGAGGGTCTTGGGCTTACTCCCGGCCCTCCTGCCGCTCAGACCATGGGCCCCTTTGTCCGAAGGGTGGACTTTAAGCATGCCCTAGGAGGTGGCTTGTTTTTGTACTTTTTCCGAATTGTGTAGTTTTTCTTTTGCAAAATAAATAATATCTTAATGCAATATTAAAAATTAAAATTAACACCAAAACACCTATGATGGAAAAAAATCAACATTTTAAAGACAAGAAATGACCCAGCACTTTCAAGTCCCCGAGAAACTTACAAAGGAGCAGGGCACAGGACAAACAAAATGTTGGCAAATTCCATTCGGTCTGTACAATTCTTACCAAAGAAAATGAAAGGACCTGACCTGCTAAATATCCTCAGTTACCTGTGCACAGCACTCCCTTCTCTGTTTAACAATTAGTCAAGGCGGGGCCCTGTGATGGATGTTTCAGTAAAGTCAAGTTTAAAGTTACTCAAGATTCAAGGAGTCACGAAAAGTTGTCAACCATCAATTCTCTCAGTTAAAAACAAGTAAAGAATTAATCTGGAAAATATTAACGAGTTTGTGTCCATTAATGCTAGCAAAGTAAAATTATATTAAATATTTGTTTTGGGATACATATAACATAATTTAGAGAAAGTTACACAAAATGCTGTATTTTAATAGTTGTAATGTTAAAATTTTATGTGTCATATTGGTATTTAATATGAAAAATATTTTAAGACTATACTTTCAGGGATCATTTCTATGGCTTGTTAACATTAAAAATATTTTAATGTTAAGTTTAATAAACTGCTGTTTCAATAGTCCCAGTGTTCAGGTTTTTTAATACTTTTCTCCATCACTTGAACGTTGTAACATTGGAAAAACACCATAAAAGTCACAAAGGCACACCTGTGGGTGCACATCTTTCTCTCCCTCAGGTCCCCATGGTGGCGTCCCCTCCCCCGCCCCAGTGGTGTGTCCAACATTGTCCACCCGCGTCCCATAATTTCTGCAGCCCTTCGGATGTGAATCTGTCTGCACCTTGCCCAGAGACCAGCCAGCGTCTGTAAAAACCACCACAACGTGCACTTATTCCGGGCCTCCAAGCCCTCGCTAAACTGATTTCTTTGTGAAAAATGTCCTCGCTCAAGTTTCTCAAAAGTAAAGCACAAATCCCAGGGGAAAGAGCAGAAAGTGGGAGGTTCTGTGCTCGCCAGTGGGGAAGATGGGGGGGGGGGGCGGAGGCAAAGCGCCCCACGTAGCTGCCAGGCTATAGGAAGGAAGACGTTTTAGGCCCGTAAAGCAGCACCCAGTGGGTGCACAGGCTCTCGACAGGGCTTCCCTGTGGCTGCCCCAGTGACTCCTGCACTGCTTACACTGTAGGCCTTTATTTGCCTGAGCATCTGGTTTCCACAGGATTTAGTGTTAAAAAGAAAACAAACAAAAAACCAGCAAAGGTAATGGAGAGGCAGGGACACCAGTTCCTTTCTTCTGCTGCCATGACTGGCGCTCTGCTCCTGGGACTCTTCCATTTTCCCTTGGCAAGGAGCTGGAGTCCATCAGCGGGGGCGGACACTGCCAAGGAGCAGCTGCCCCAGGTCAGTGGGCAAAACGGGGGACCTCGACTGCCCAGGGTGGGGGTGGGGGGCATGAAGGTGCAGGTGACCTTCGGAAATTCAGGGGCAGATGTGGCTTCTCAGAACGCCCAGGGTGAGTGGAGTGGCAAGTTCCACGTGGCTTTCCTTTTGCCCTCTTGGTATTTGGTGTTTTGCTCACTTGGGTCTAACGGTCCTGGGCTGAGCTCTGGGTCAGCTTTCCGAAGTGGCCGGGATGTTTTGAGCCAGGCACATTTTCCATTTTCTTGAGCCCAGGAGTGTTTACAGAGAAATGGGATGGTGTGCTTCTTACTGATGTGAGACTCACCCAGGTGGACTCCCCGGGATGTCTGGAAAAGTCCAGCGAAACCATTCTGTGCATTTCTCTTTCACCCAAGAAGCTGTCCTGAACCCGAAGGAGATAGAAGTTTCTGGGGGTTGCAGTGGGGCTGGAAGAGCGAGTGCAGGGATTGCAGGGTTTTACTCTGCAAAGCTGGTTGAACACTGCCCCCCCCCCCCCCCCCCCCGCAGCAGGAGCTCCTCCTGGCTCCCGGAGGTGCCTTGGAACGTCCGCAGGACACTCCTTTTGGGCGTGCCCTGGATAGAGGTGTGAGGAACTGAGGAAAAGAGAAACAAAAAAACCCAGCCCTGCCACCTCCTATACACAGGCCTCTGAAAAACTTCTGACTTCAGTTTGGGATGAAGTCGGAATGGAGTATTTCGCTGCATTCATCCCGAAAAACCTACCTGTACAACCTTCTGTTTCAAAGAGCGCCTTTGAGATAATTTGCGGGTGGGAGTGGGGTGCAGGGAAAGCCTCCATAACATGATGCCCTCTCAATTAAAAAAAAAAAAAATGAACTAGCTTCCAGTCTGTCACAACTTGGAAAAACAGCATGGTGACAGGTCACCCTGGTCACAGGTGTAAGTTTGGGGAAGCCGTCTGTTCGAAACTTCTTTCCTCCCGGTGTATTTTCAAGTCATGCCCCCGGTTGGGGGGAATGAAGGAAGCTCTGGGAGCCAGCTAAGCTGTGTCCCCTAGGTCTTGGGCTTTCCAGCTGAACTGGCCGCCCCTTTGCTGCAGGCCGGGGCCACCTGACAGTCGTCCTGGCTCGCGAGAGAGAAAGCGGGTGTCTCCGTGGGGGCGAAGACGGCCATCATCTCCGAGGGCTGGGTGCTGGCGCGTGTGAACGGAAGCGGGGTGCAGCGGAAGCCTGATGATGGAGCTCTCTTGCTTTTAGATTCGGTTTCCATGGCAAGTCTTTTGAAAAGACGAGGAGAGCAGCGTCTTCCCCTTCTAGGGGGAGAGGCGCAGTGACGGCTTCCCGCACCAGCAGCGGGCTTGAGACTTGACCGTGCCAGCTGGGTTAGGAGGCCTCATTTCTTCACAAAAGCCCTGTGAAATCGGTAAGGAGGACTATTTCCATTTTGCAGAAGAGGAAATCGAAGCCCTGCGAGGCGAAGCGGCTGACTCCCGACGGCACGGTGAGAAGGTAGGTGTCGCCGGAGGGGCGCTGTGGTTTCCAAGGGGGCTCTGCACAGCGGGGCTTTGGCGGATGCACCCGCCCAGCGCGCCCGGTTTTGCAACCACAGTTCGATGAATTCTCAAGTGGGAGCGGTACCTGCAGAGGGCATCGGGAGCTGTGTGGGAGGTTTTGGTTTCAATCACTCAGGGTGGAGGGAACCATTAACCCCCAGAGATGAGGGCCGGGGGTGTTAACTGCAGTCCTGTCCCACAAAATGAAGTTTTCTGCCCAAATTTTCAATTGCACCCGCCGTCAAGAAATACAGAAGAGTAACTTTCTTTTTTTTTTTTTAAATTACATGTGGACTGTTATTACATATGATTCTAGTTGAGATAAAGAGGTTTCCCCTGCTGAAATGAACCTTTGAAAGTGACTAGGTTAGTGCTAAACTCTCCTTTTTCTCTGGCTTTCTCCAAAGCACCCCAGGAAGGGGCTCTGGCCCCCTCCCACCGGAACCGTAGAAAGCTGGGTGTCCTGCAACGTGCAGGTGCCTTGGGCTCAGCGCTCAGGGACCGGACCTTGCCGATCTGAAGCTCTCGGGCGGCAGGTCCTCAGGTCCTGCCTGCCTACAAAAAGGAATCTTGCTGTATGTTCTGAACTTCAGCCGATGACCAGGGAGGCTGAAGACGGGGGTGCCCGCTTTCCTCATGACCCCGCTGAGAAGACCTGGTACCCACAATTTCTCCATTGACTTCAAAGCTGCCCTTCCGTGTAGCATGAGGTTTTCTCGACTGAAAGTGTTAGCGTTGTGGGTGGCAGGGAAGAGGTGTGAGCGCGCGTGTGAGCCTGTCTGTCGCAGCCTTGAGCTGGTGAGGGCTGAGGGGTAACAGTTTACTTGCAAACCCGAGAGCGGGGCTGGCAGCGTCTCAGCCCTTGGCTGACTGTCCTGGCCACCGGGGCTTCCTTACATCTGCTGCCTGCAGAGCAGCTCCCACAGGAGCTGGGAGCGGGTGCAAAGGCCTGGCATTCTTTTCCCGATTCTTATTTACACTTGGTGACAGAAAGCGGTGTCAGGGTAGGTCAGAGAGGAACAAGGAAGCCAGTCAGTGCCTCCACGAAACCCTAATGGACACCCCTTATCCTGAGGGATTCTCATGAAGGAGTACACCTTATAGTAAGCTGGGTTCCTCACGAGAACCCTGGGAGGTGCCGGTGGGTGTTTCAACTTTACTGATGAGGAAACTGAGGCTTGGAAGGGGAATAGAGACCGTCCGGGATGCCACGCTTCCGAGCAATGCGGCCAGCTCCCTAAGCACACCTGCCCCCATGAAAGGCCTCGTCTCGGGCACTGACCACTGTGCGCCTAGACCCTGAGGCTGCCATTTGTCTGCTGGGGTGAGAGGGGTTGGCAGTCCAGACCCCAGGGGTTTCTTGTTCATCGCCATGTCCTCTGTCTGGTCTGGTACCTGGCATGCAGGAAGTTCTTGGCAACTCCTGTCGAATACAATGAGAATTCTGTGCTTTCCTTCCTATATATCTGGGCAGTACCAGTGATCACATTCATTATAAATTCTACGGCTTGGCTGCCTCGCAGACAAAGGACATTCTAGATCTGGTGAGGGCTGGGTGGGGCGTTAGGCAGGAGAATGGGGGCCCCGGCATGCACAATGACTAGAGCCCAGAGGACAGATAATAGCATACAGGGGACAGGGAGGGGTGAGACCCTCTTTCACAAACCCAGCCACCACCTGAAAGGCTCCACTCTGCCCTCTGGGCCTCCGGTCCTCTCTGGCACAGAGCTGGGGCCAGGGGCGGCAAGGAGGCATTTGTGCCAGACACACAGTTTGTGGGGGCGCCACGCAGCTCAGTTATCGAGGTGAATCAAATTTTAATGAACTAATGAAAACACCCAAATAAATTTGGGTTTAGTTGATTAACCAAGTTCATTGATTGATTGTTTAATTGGTAAACTGAGTACTCAAAATAACCCACGATAAACAAACGAGCAGCATTTTAAATAAAGGCAGGACAAAAGCTCCCACGTTCTGTGTGAGAGGAGCCTCGTGGGAACCTGAGGCAGCAGGAGCATCACTCCTGCTGATCCTGTGTTTGTTTAAAATATTTACATTTTCTTTATCGTGGAGTTTTGCATGCATCGTGATTTTTGTAAATGCTGATTAAAATGTAATTCACCTTGATCGCTGACCTTGATTGCTGAGCTCAGGGCAGCCCTGGCTGTTGTACCCGAGGCCAGCGCCTCATGTCCATCTCCTTAGTTCCGGTCCTGTTTGGTCTCCAAGGCCTCCCTTTCTGCCCTCTCAGACTGCCGCTGGGCTCTCCTCTGCCCCCTCCTGTCCTTGAACTTGCAGGCACCTTCGGGCCTCAGGGCCTTTGCTTGGGCCATTCTCTTGGTTCTGGCCCTCCCCTCCCCCACACACCTGCTGTCCCTCTCTCTCACTTCCTCTAAGTCTTTGTTCACTTATTTATTATTCTTTGCCTGGTTCTTTGCCATCACAGCGTGACTCCCACGGGAGCAGCTGTTTTCATCTGTTACAGCCAGGCGTGTGGGGGGTGCTCCGTAGGTATCTGATGAGTGAAAGAATGAAGGAGTCTGAGGAAGACGTTGAACTGTCAAGGAACCTAAAGGCCACCACCATTAGGAGTTTACTCTAAGGGACAGCAAGCATTGCTTCTGCAAAAAGAAATAACTATACAGAGCCATTGTGTGTAGGCACTGCGGTAAGTACTTTTCATTCCTACATATCTCACTGAGTCCTCCTGACAGCCCTGTCCCTGTGTTTTACAGATGAAGGAAGTGGGACCTAAGGAAGTTAAGGAACAAGTCCAAGTGCAAGGGTCTTGGATCTCCACGCAGGACTGTCTGAGCTCTCCTAGAGGTTTTTGATGTTTGTAGGCTGTGCTGGGTAAGGAAGGAAGAGATCAGAAGTCGGCAGGAAACCAAAGAAGTCATGTGTGAGGTGAGGGGAGAGACGTGATGTTTCAGAACGATTTTCCTTCCCCCGCCGTCATCGCCCCGCTGAGTTGCTCCATCAACCTTCCAGGTCGGTGGGAAGAAAGAACGGAGGTCAGCCCTCGTTCGACAGAGTAGCTGGCACACAAGTCGTTAACTCAACTGGACCGGACTCTATGGGGGAAAAATGTGTTCAGGACTTCTTTGCAAATGAGATTTTAATCTGATTAGCAATGTCATCTTTTGTCATAACAGACAAACCTGTACTTAGGACTCCAGCTTATTGACCAGGCCCTCACCAGCAGCTCTTAGGTCTGCCGGGACTGTCTGGTGGGTCATTTAGAGGTCTTTGAGGGACAGCGACACTGTTGAGTGGAGAGAGCAGCTGTTAGAAGCCCGGGGTAACCTGGGTTGGTGTCTTGGTTCTGCATGTTCCTTCGCCTTCCTGAGTCTGGGTCTGCAGGGATGTGGTGGTAAGAACGGCTTCCTCACAGGACGCTGTAAAGATGGGATGGGTGATTTATTCGGGCACCCAGCAGGATACCTGGCAGGTGGGAGGCACACACCGATGCTTGTGTCCTTTACTCTGCTTGTCTTTGTTTCCTACTTCTTCTCTGATGCCCAATCAGGGCAGAACTAGGAAAAGGGTGAGGGCAAGATCCGGGAGTGGATGGCCTTCCCGGGAACATTGACCAACAGGGCTAGAGATGACCCTCAACCATTGTCACTGATTGTGCAACCCGACCTTTAGAAGTGATATACGATGCATGTGTCGAAGGAGTTCAAAGCACATTCACGCACACATGAGCTTCTCAAGCCTGGCAGAGTTTCTGGGCAGGTGGCACCATCTCCATTTTTAAGAGGGGAGGGTACCTGCATCTCCTCTGCTCTCGGCTCTGCCCTGTCCCGTGAGGCTGCACTGCGTGCAAAGGCAGGTGGGTCAGTGACACGGTCACGGCACCCACACCTTGAAAGTCTCTGTCACCTCCAACTCTCATCCAGCAATGCTTTCTTAGGGGGAACATAGAACTTTCCAGGAAACTTTACTTGAGATGAGTTACTGGAAGAGCAACTTCATCTTATTGGAATGACTGTGCTCTGGTGGAGCCCACGAGGGGATTTGCTTCATTCCAGGGCTCGGAGGGGGCAAGCGGGGACATGACTAATCCACGTCAGTGGTTTCTGACTAATCCGTAGAATCGAAAGTATCTTGAACCATTGGTTCTCCTTTCTTTCTTTCTTTTTGGCAGGCTGTAGACCCAAGGCCTTTGGGATGAGTTTGGTTAAGAAGAGGAACTGCAGACACGGAGTTAGAGCGCATCCTTGGTGAACACTGAATTGCAACTGAAGCCGACTTCAAGTGCGTTTAAGTGGAAGAACAACTGTTTGGCGGGGGGCAGCTCTGTCGCCAGGGAGGTGGCCGTGCTGACCGGGAGAGGGACAAGGGGGCACAGGGCCAAACAGAAGAGGGACTGTCCAGTCTCCAAGCTAGTGACTTGGTTTACTTACGACTCCACAATCGTAGCAGTTTTCTGGCTGGGGTCACTCAAAGATGGATATACCTCAGAAGGTTTGGGGTAAAAGGCAAGGGGAGATGTGGAGGGTTTATTTATCTGAAGCTAGAAGAGCAAGTGCATTGTTTTACATTGATCAGACCTTCGTGGTCCGTGTGAGTTTGCTTGAGCTGCCATGGCAGAGTGCCCCAGACTGGGGGCTTACCCAGCAGAGATGTATTTTTTTATCCTTCTGCAGGCTAGCAGTCCAGGACCACGGACTTGGCCGGGTGGGCTCCTTCCAAGGCCTCTCTTGGAGGTGTGGATGGCCAGCTGCTCCTGGCCCGTCCGTGTCTAAACAGCCTCACTGACCAGGGCACCAGTGTGGTTGGGTTAGGGCCTGCCCATCAGGCCTCATTTTATCTGAATTTCTGTTTTTTATAAAACAAAATGACATTTTATCATGCTATGGTGTTAGTATTTTGGGTACAATGTCCCCTCTGTTCTCCAAATGTTCTGTGATGTAGTTGTATCATTTTTTAAAGAGAGAATTTTTCTTAATCACCTGTTTGAAGCCCGATGTCCAGATACAACCACAGGGTGAGGTTCTGGGGATTTGCACTTCAATTTATGAAATTCGGGGTGGGGGGTGGGGAACACAGGTCAGCTCACTGTGACCTCAAAGCAGCAGCCTCCAGTTGGCAAGGAGCAGTTGTGGGTTGTCCTTGAGTCCTGGGGGGGCGGGGGGGAGGCAGTGACAGGCAGTGGGCGTGGCTGACTGGCAGGTGGGCGGGTCTAGGCTAACAGGCTCCCTGGAGTCGAGGTGCTGGGCTTGGGCTTCAGAACTGACAGGCAGATCCTGATGGTTCTTGGCTCCTCCTCGGCCACCACAAGATGCTGCCTGCCTTCATCTGCCCGCAGAACCAGATGGGACAGAGGAGACGGGCCAGCCCTGAGAGCCAGGGCCGCACTCCCAGGCAGCTGCAGAGACAGTGGGGGTTGCATCGGTCCCGTCTGAGGCTGCTTTGGAGCTCCCACAAAGCACCCTTTGTCTGAGGCCCAAGGGGATTGTTGGTTTCATGAGCAAGCCTCCCAGGACGGGGCAGTTGCAGAGCGAGTTCCCTCTCCCCATTTGATGGGGCAAGAGCTGGCAGGACACCCCCTCCCTGGGGAGGGAGGCAGAGGGATCTGGAGCAGAGGTGGGGAGAGGCGCCAAGTCAGTGGGAGGGAAGTCTGAGCTGCAGGGGTGAGGACTAGAGTGGGAAGCAGGGGAGCCGTTCCAGCCCCGGGCACCCACCGGCCAGCATGGAGAGGCCATCAGGCGTTCTTTTCTAGCCTTTGTTCTGTACAGACCTGGACGGCTGGTCACATGGGGCACATCCCGGGGGCACAGGAAACAACCTAGAAACCACCAGGGAGGTTCAAGAAGGTGTGGTTTCCAAACTGGAGGCAGCTTTGGTTTGAACAGTGGGTTTAAGAATCACCCAGGGACTGAAAGCTCCGGGCTGGAGTCTTCTTAGCTCATCCTTTACCTAATTCCAAGTTATTGAGAACATACACATAGATGGGAAGGTACCAGGAATGATAACAGTACATAGATGTTTGGATTGTTTTCTCTCTCTGACTATAAAAAATACAGTATTATAGAAAATTTGAGATACACACACACACAGTGTGGAGCAAAAGTAGCTTACAGTTCATATGGGAAATAATATAATAATTAATAAATAGTACAAGAATAAACTGGGTATTCACAGCTGTAGTCCTACTTTTGCCCCACTCGGTGTGTGTGTGTGTGTGTACAAACACAGGCACAGCCACAGAGGAGAAAATGTAAAACCGTCTATGGATTTAGAGAGGATCGCTACAAAGAGTTTTGGCATTTAGCTCTCGAAGGTTATCCTTTTGTAGTTATACAGATACATATAAATGTAGAAATATTTATACAAAATTTTTATAAAAGGGATTGATCATTCAATACATACTTTCTACTTAGTGTATTTTGAACATTGCTAACACATTTCTATATCATGATTTTTAAGTAACTGTTTAGTAGTCCATTGGATGAATGTACCACAATTTTTAAAATTCTCTATCTTGGGACATTTTTTCCACTATTATAAACAAGACTTAGCATTTCTATACAAACCTTTCTGTGTCCTGTTTTATAACAGGCGTGAACTTCAGCCTTGGATGCCTTTGCACGTCTGCGCCGTGGCTGGGAAGGATCTACCAAGTGTGTTTGGGAACAGAGGGCTGCCCGGTGGGAATCAGGAGAGGGATCCCGGAGCCCAGGGCTGCTGCGGTCCTGTCCCAAATCAACCCCGTTTCCATCTGGATGAATAGAAACCGTGTCCAGGGCAACGTGTCAGGAACTGTGCAGACGTTTCATGTTCGGGGTAACAGGGGAAATGGAGAATGGGAGTTTGCTTAGAGAAGGCCACGGGGTGAGGGGGTCTTCAGGGGACCCTCTCAAAGCAGTTTTAAATTTACAGAATGAAGGTTGCTCTTTTGGCCACAGAAAGGGTGGACTTGAGTTTTTCATTCATAATGGGCCCACATATGGGAGAAGGAATGCCAGCAACTGATTGGGTTAAAGCCTAACGCCTTTCTATAAAAGAAGTCCAGATGGCAGATACAGCAACTCTAAGTTTATTGTCCGTCATCCTTCGTGCCTGGCTTTCATACTGAAGATTACCTCAACGTCTCACCTGAGAGTTGGAGCTCCAGTCATCACGTCCTCATTTCAGGCAGGCCTGGTATTTACTCAGAACACACAGGGATGGCCACTTAGCAGTTACCATATCAACGTACTTCTGAATGAGTGGGCGAGTAGCTGCTGTCTCTTGGCCTCCGTAGATCATCTCCCAGGCACAGCAACTAAAGAATTAACACAGGTCCCAGCAGGACTCTTCAGGACTTTGCTTAGCACTAAGGTGGACTGGTTGAACAAGTTCAAAATTGCCCTCTGTGGAGAGCAGGACCAATATAATGGCCTAGAGTATATAAAACAGAGTGGAGTCACTCTGGTCAACCAAGATGGCTACCAGTCAGCCATGACACTTTGGTTCAAGAGCAAAATCACCTAAGTCAGAGCAGACATGTCTGACAAGGAGACACACTTAAGACATTTGCACACGTGATCAGAGCAGCCGTGACTACGGAGTGGGACCACTCACAGAGGGGCTCCTGGGGAAAGTCCTTACTTGGCGTCAGGGTGGCCAGAACACTTACTTATCAAAAGGCCCAGAAGGGTGGAGGCACCCCTTTCAAGGTACAACTGAGGCAGGCTCCAGACCACTGCTGAGACCGCTGAGCCCCACACCCCAGAGGGCTGCTCCATGCCACGCTGATCTCCCTTGGCATCGGCTGCTGGAGGCTCTGCCCTGCTGGACTGAGGACTCCCTTGCCCACCGTGCTGTCTCTCGGACCAGCAGACCAAGTCTCTGGGGCTCAGGTTTGTTATCCCCCACTGATTGCTCTGTGCACGTGTGTGTTTTATATTTCTCCTAGACTGTCAGAGTGTGAGTAGGATGTTAGTGTGTGCTGACGTTCTACTTTGAGTGAACCTGCATTCACTAAAAGCTGTATGAACAGCACAGTTACTGTGTGTGACTCTTGTCTGTTCCTTGGTACTGGGCTGCTCGGTAGAGCCTTGGTCCTGGCTGACTTATGGGAAAGGCCCAATTCTAGGTATAAAGCAGAGAGAGACAACTAAAGGGCTGATTTTCCAGGTAAGCTGGTCTCCTTTACAGAGCCTTTCTCACGAGCACCACCCATCCCCTTCTGCTCATTGGCCACTCCATCTGAAGTGCAGGCTGGGAAATGTAGTTCTGTAGCCTTCAAGATGTCATCCTTCCAACAATATCAAGGTCTCTTCTAAGGAAGCAGGAGTGTTGGGCAGGCAATCCTACTCAGAAAAGCAAACTCTAGGGGGACTGCAGTGGAGGAGGCTCAGTTTATCATCCCGCAGTGTGCACGCTGTTCCAAATCAGGGCGGGGGGAGATAGTGCTCCCCCATTATGTGTACTTCTTAGGGGGGTGTGTGTGGTGATGCAAGGAGGGAGTGGATGTCTAGAATAGGAGGAGTTATGCAGTTGGGAGGTCGGATCTCCAGGAAGAAAAGGCGCTGCATTTGTGGTTGTGTCTATTCCTCAGGGAAAAACTGGATGGTCCCCTCTGTCAACTGCCTAAGAAACCCCCTCCTGTAGCTTTTGCAAACAAAAACAAATAAAAACAAACCTCCCTTCGAAGCTGGTATGAGTGTTAACTAGAAGGCAGTTTGGCAGTGTTTAGCTACATGAAAAGTTGACACACTATTGGACCCAGCGAACCCCCTTCCTGGACTCTCTCCTGACCGACATTCATCCGCGTGTGTGAGGGCGTGGGCACACAGACGAGGCTTGTCGTTCGGGCTTCCGAGGGGCAGACTGGAAACGTGGACGCCTATCACTATGGCACTTGTTAAACCAAATTAGGGCATATCGTTCTGAAGAGTTGCAAAAATGACATAGACATCGAATATCATAGAAAAATCTCCGAAATGCATTTGAAGAGAAATGTGCACGTTGTCTAACAATTTGAATGCAAGTTCAGTACCGTGTGCTACTGCTTCTGGAGAAAACAGTGCGCATGCCTACGTGTCTGTATCAGAGGGAACTGGGTGAGGGCCCTGCATTGTTGACAGTGGAGGGGGCGGGAGGCGAGTATTGAAGAAACTTTTACATTTTGTTCAGTACACTGCTTATCTTGCAACTGGAGCATACTTTGGAATTGCTTATGCAATTACAAAAATAGCCTCAGGATGATACACCAAACCTGGAGTCTTTGGAGTAGGTGGGTAGACAGATGCATCAGGAATGGCAGGTAAAAAAGTGTTGCGTTTTCAGTGCAGTAGAAAGAGAGCGTGACAATATAACAAACCTGCAAGGACCATAAATGGAAACAACCTAGAGGGCACACACCGTTCTAGGTGTGCTAGTGTGCTACGTATAGTAACTTCTTTAATCTTCAACACAGCCCTACGGGATCGGTGCTGTTATGCTTTTTCTGTAACAGATCAGGAAACCCAGGCACAGGGACAGGAAGTCAGTTGCCCCAGGTCATGTGGATGGTGACAGGCGGCCCCAGGCATCGAACCCAGTTGTGCTGACCACGGAGGGCACGCTCTTAACCTCACGTAACGCAGCCTGTGTGCCTTTGCCGTGTTGCCCGTAGTTTGCAGGGCAGTTTCACAGACATGAGCTCACTGCATCCTCGAGTCCTGTGTGATTTATTGCCCGTCTGTTCTGGGCCAGGCACAAGGCGGGCGCCTTGCAGTTTTGCATGTCCACACTTCATAACTCACTGCTCCTTGCTGCACACGAGCTCTTCGTTACTCTTCATGGTCTTCATTGTGCAGATGGACAAACAGGCTCAGAGTAACAGGGTCACATCATGTTCCCAGATTTACACGGCCGGTGGCTTAATTTGGGTTCTTCCAAAGCCAATCCCTCAAAGAGGATTTGGTTGCAGGTGGCTCAGTTGGGAGGGATGGGGACACGAACTAGGGGACTGGGGAAATGAGGCAGGTATGTCAATGACCCTCACAGTGCAGGGACTTGGGCTTCGTTCTGCTGAGGGGCCTGTGACCCTGTGCGGAACAGACCCCTGGGGTGGAGAGGCCCAGGGCTCCACGCATTGCCCAAGGGCCAACGCTCTCCAGCAGTCCCTGTCTGCCCTGAGAGGACTCAGAGTTTCCTGGGCTCAAACGTCTCTCCAGGCCAAGGGCCCGGAAGCTGTGAGCTTGGCCCGGGGCCACCTGTGGGTGACCTCCAGGTAGGCCAGGTGGCTGTGGGCCGGCCATCCCCATTCCACTTAAGTGGGGGAATGGAGCAGAACTGGAGTTGGAACTCAAGCCTGTGTGATGTGAGGGCCCCAGACTCCTGGGCCCACAGGCTGCAGGGCAGGTTCCTGCTGAGCCTCATGCAGGGCCATCCACAGATGCATCAGAGGGGCCCAGCTGTGTGGCTCCCGGAGACAGAGCTTTGGTGTGACCCATGCGGAATCACAGTGGGACCTTGCTGGCTGCTCCTCTGCCCCGGGAGAAAGGCAGTCCAGGGGGCAGGAAGGGAGCTCGAATGAATTCCTGGCCCCGCCACCCCCGAACCCTTCACTGCAGCCACACTGGCCCGTCCTTTTTCTAAAAGGGCTTGCTCGTTCCTCTGACGACTGTCTCATCCTCAGCTTTTCAGGTCTTTGCTCCACTACTCAAGAGAGGCTTTCTGTGCCACACTCTGAAATCACACCCATCTCCATGCTCCGGGGCACTCGCAGTGCACCGACAGGGGGGACGCTCTCACTCTGCCTCTGGCCCCTGTCTTTCTCTTGCACTGGAGCGTGAGCACTGGAGTGTGAGCATCAGAGTGTGAGCATCAGAGTGTGAGCACTGGAGCATGAGCACTGGAGTGTGAGCACTGGTGCATGAGTACCAGAGTGTGAGCACTGGGTGCAAACTGGTGCACAAACACCGGCACAGAGGCAGCGCGGGGAACCCCGACAGCCTGCCTCTTGCAGGGCCCCCAGTGCACGCCAATTGACTGAATGAGTGAGAAGGCGGCTTGGGGAGGGGTAAGAGCGTCCCAGAGACAGCGACGACGTGGTGGGGGTGGTAGAAACAGTCACAAAAGGGACTGCGAGGCATCCTCACCACCGATTTGTCCTAAATATATTTTTATCAAAGCCCTGTGCTCCTCAACCTTTGTCCCAGCCTGGCCTGGCCTTGCAGGCTGGGCAGGCAGCCCTGCTGGCCTGGGTGGAGCGGGGCCGGATGTTTGGGAGGCCCCGAGTTCCCTCTTTGGTGGCTGGTGTGAGCTGAGATGCCCCAGAGCCGGAGGCACGGCGCCAGCCCTGCTCTGACACGGGCAGCCCCTGGCTTCCTGTCGGAGCCCACAGCCGGCCCCGAGGCCCAGAGAGACTGGGCGAACAGTGAGCTCTCTGTTTGCTCCGCAGGTTGTCCCTTCTGGAGGGACTGTCATCGGCATTTCCTGCTCCCATGCTGCCCTCAGCTCTCCGGGGCCCTGTTCTGGTTACTGACCCCCTGAGAGGGGAGCATCCTTTCCCACTGGGCCCCAGGTCACCACCTACGCCCTTGCCATGGCCTTCTTGAACTGCCCCATTGTCCCCCCCTTCCTGGCCCCAGGCGTCCTATTCCCTCGGAAAACCACCAGTAGCTGCTGTTTGTTGAGCAATGTGGCCAGGCCCTGTGATAGTATTACCTCTCCTAACCCTCACGCTCCTCGTGAGGCCGGTGCTGTTACTCACCCATTTTACAGACGGATGTCAATAGTTTTCATCACTGATTGAGCGATTTCTGCATGCCAGGCAATGTCCTGAGCGCTTCAGAGTTGCGGCAGTTCCCATTCTTGTTCCTAAGTGCTTGCGTCCTTCCCTGTGGGACAAACACACTGCCCACCTTGCTAATGCCACGTAGGACTCACTTGGCTAATGGGACAGGATTGGAAGGGACAGGCTCCCGGGTAGAAGCTCCGAGAGCCCTTGCCAGGCCTGCCCTTCCTTCCTCTGCGCCAGCCACACCAGGCGCGGGGAGGGTGGGTCTGGCCGTCTGGTTCCCAGAATAAAGACATGCGGCCAAACCACAGAGAACATGTAACAGGAGCGAGAAACAAACCTTTGTTGTTGTAAGCCACTGAGATTTGGGGGCGGTTTGCAGCACAAGCTAGCGAAAGCTGGTGGATATAGCACGCGTGATTGCCATTAATCCCACGGACAGCTCTGGGGGTGGGGGTTTATGCGCCCCTTTTCAACATTCATACTACAACTCTACTAAATCCTGGCAAGGGAGGCCATCCCACTCCCGCTCCACAGTCAACCTGAAAGAAACACAGGACAAAAGCCAATCTAATTAAAAGGGAACTTTATTCTTGCATCTTCAGAAAAAACTTAAAAGGGGGGTCCAGATGAAGTTCTTTGATTTTTAATCCGTGTGCAGAATGACTAGGGACGTAGTTCTGACACAGGCCATGGCAGCCTTCCCGTTGGTTGCTGCCGCGTTCTGGCAGCTCTCTACCTGTCTGTGCGGGTGGGGAGGGGTGGACAGCCTTCGCTCGCAGGGGCCTGGGGAGCGGCCTTACTCTGGCTCCGTGGGACCTGCTTAAAAGCTGCTGAATGACAGCTGCTAGACAGCTGGGAATCTGCAGCCCCAGAACGGGTCATTCTGCGGGGTCAGCTGGGGGTGCCTAGGAGAGTAGATTTTTTTTTTTTAACTTCACAGGCTGAGAGAATGGCACGCAACATTTGGGCGTGGTTTCTACACAATACAGACATCGCACTGAGACAAGCCTGGGAGCACAGACCCGTCTTTTCGAGCCACCTTGGATCCCATGGCATGGGTTCCTGGTGGCATGAGATGTCATCATGCTACTTGGCATGGCATGCAATTTTAAACGTACGCATTGCTTGTTTCTGGAATGTGGCATTCACTATTTGCCCCCTGCGGTCGACGGAAGGTCACTAAAACTACAGAAAGTACACTCGTGGCAGATGGGGGGGGGACGCTGTACAGAGATACCTTCCAGGGTTACCACCCTTTCCTGAAAAGTCCTGTGCACGCGTGCGTGCGTGCGTGCGTGTGCCCGGTCTACTGATGTCGAGTTTTCCTGACAAGAGGAGCACCCCCCCCCCCCCAGGTGCTTGGAGAAGGATTCGGGAGGAGGTGTGGACGCGGAGGTGGGGTGGTAATACCAGAGGTAGAGATTACCTGCCAGCTCATTGGATGATCTGTCACCTGCGACACTGTGAGCCAGCCTATTCATAACCATTCTTTTTTCAAAAAAGATTTTATTTATTTATTTTGAGAGAGAGAGGAAAGGAGGGAAAAAGAGAGGCAGAGAAACAACGTGTGGCTGCCTCTCACG